AAGACTTGTTTTGTGGTCTAACATGTGATCTGTCCTGGAGAATATTCCATGTGCATTTGAGAAGAATGTATATTCTGCTGCTGTTGGTTGGAATGTTCTATAAATGTCTATTAGGTCCATCTCATCTAATGTCCAGTTTAAGTCTAATGTTTCTATATGGATTTTCTGTCTGAACAGTCTATTTATTGTTGAAAATTAGATATAGAAGCCCCAACTATTATTGCATTGCTGTCTGTTTCTCCCTTCAGGTTTGTTAATATTTGTTTTATATGTTTAGATGCTCCTGAGTCCATAAATATTTACATAATACATCCTCTTGTTGGAGTGATTCTTTTATCGTTGTATAATGGCTTCCTTTGTCTCATACTATAGTCTTTGTCTTATATAAGTATAGTCACCCTGTTTTGTTTGGGTTTCCATTTGTATGAAGTATCTTTGTCCATCCCTTCACTTTCAGGTTCTGTGGGTCCTTAAAGCTGCAGTGAATCTCTTGTGTTTTCATCTGTTCAGCCTCTGTATGTCTTTTCATTGGAGAATTTAGTCCATTTACATTGAAAGTAATAATTAATAGGTATGGACTATTGACATCCTGTTAATTGTTTTCTGGCTGTTTTGTAATTCTTTTGCTCTCTTTGTGATTTGAAGACTTTTGGTAGTGATATGCTTAGAGTCTTTACTTTTTATCTTTTATGTGTCTATTCTAGGTTTTTACTTTATGGTTACTATCAGGCTTATATAAAACATCTTATATTTGTAACAGTCTATTTTAAGTTGATAACAACTTAGGTTCCAACACATACCAAAGTTCTATATTTTTACTCACATTCTCCCCTCTTTTGATTTTTGCTGTCAAATTGATATTTTAACTTGTAAATCCATTTAAAATTACTGTCACTTAAGTACTTTTAATACCTTTATCTTCAAACCTTCTTACTAATTTATAAGTGATTTGCCCAGCACCATGAGAGATTAGAGTATTCTGAATTTAACTATATATTTATTTTTCCCAGTGAAATTTATACTTCCATATGTTTTCCTATTACTAATTAGTTTCCTTTCATTCCAGCTTGAAGAATTTCCTTTAACATATAAGACTGGTCTAGTGGTGATGAACTTCTTTAGCGCTTGCTTGTGTAGAAAACTCTTTATCTCTCTTTCAATTTTGCTGGGTAGAGTATTCCTGGTTGACAGTATTTTCTTTCAGCACTTTGAATATATCACCTCAGTCTCTCCTGGCTTACAAAGTTTCTCCTGAAAAATCTGCTGAAATCCTTATAGAGATTCCCTTGTATGTAACAAATTGTTTTTCTCTTGCTGCTTTTAAGATTCTCTCCTTCTCTTTAGCTTTGATAATTTAATTTTAGTGTGTCTCTCTGTGGGTCTGTTTGGACTCTTCTTGGAACTGTCTAAGATTCCTGGATCTGGATGTCTGTTTCTTTTTCCAGGATAGGAAAGTTTTTGGCCATTATTTCTTTGATATGCTTTCTACTCCTTTCTCTCTTTCTTCTTTTGGACCCATATAATGTGAATATTGATGTTCTCTGTCTTCACTGAAATTCTTACTTTGTTAATGCATTGTTCTCCTGACTTCAGTGAGCAAATTTGTGACCTTACTTTGAACTCTTTAGGTAACTCACTTATCCTCATATCCTTAAGGTCTCTTTCTGGAGTTTTAGCTTGTACTTTTGTTTGGAACATATTTATCTGTTTCTTTATTTTCCTTGACTCTCTGTTGATTTCTGTGCATTAGATAAAACAGCCACCTCTCCCACTCATGAGGAATGCTCTTGTGTAGGATACAAAACTTCTCATTCAGCCTGGCCCTAGCTCTTGATTGTATCTCAGACCTCTGTGATTGCCCAAGCTGCCTTCTTTTCTTTAGTGGCTTCCAGTAGTTGAGGGTGTGCCAAGACCTATTTGTGTCCCAGAGTGAAAGATCTCAGTCAGCACCTAGATGCAGGCTAATTAGCAGCCAGACTCTCAGAAAAAAAACAGCTTTTTTAAAATATGTAAATAAACCTCTTTCAGGGAAAAACTAGGAGGTGGGCATTTCTGTCTGCTCCTTCTGTGCTGAGCACAGTTTAAAAGTGTTTCTTTCTTTGCTCCAGTTCTGTGGGACCCATACATGCAAATTATGCTGGCCATCATAGCCAAATGACCAAAGGGTATGTCCCCTGAGTGGCAACTACAAAAGCCAGGGTGCCAGGTGTGTCTGTGAGCTCCTCTGGGGAGAAACTGGTGGTTTGGAGCAGGCTACAGGGAGAATACTGAGATGGAGTCTCTGGGCTTTCCTGATCTCTAGGGAGGATCTGTCCCTAGCTGTGAGCTTAATTAGAGGCCTGACCCTCAGGCAGAAAATCTTCCAAGTATTCAAATAGGCCTATAGGTCTATTTCAGGGAGAGACTGGGAGATGGGCGCGGGTTTTTTTGTTTGTTTTTTTCTTCCTGTTGCCTGTGTTGAGCTGTAGGGGAGAACCACAATGAGTCCTCATGAGCCCATGAGCCTCATGAGAACTGTTTGTTTGCTATAGTGTTGTGTGTCTTGTGAAAACAGCCCCACTGGCTTTCAGAGCTAGATATTTTGAGGACTTGACCCTCAGGTGGAAGTCTTAAAAGATGGGGCACTGGAGGCCAGATCTAAACTCTTCTCTCCTCAAGGAGAAAGTGGGAGTTGTGAGTTCTTTCCCTATTGAATGTCGCTGTGATGGGGTGGGGTTTATGGCAAAAGCGGGTCTCAGCCTTTCTTATTCATTAAAATGTGGGGTTTTTTCCCTGTTCACCCAATGGGTAGGAGTCTCTTAGCTAGTTTCTGGATTTTTTTCAGAGGAAATTATTTCATGATATATAGCTGTAGATTCAGTGTGTCCGTTGGAGGAGGTAAGCTCGGGAAACTGCTGTCACCATCTTGGATGGGAAACCAGTAAGGCCTGTACTCAGTGTTGTTAATATGGGATTAATTCCTCCACTATCTGTCTCTAGGCTTGGCAAGATAATGAGATGAGATAATGAAATGGGTGTAAAGCACTCTGAAAAGAATGGGGCTTTATATAAAGATAAGGGAAGGTTACTTTGGTGTGCCTGAATACAAGTGAAGTCCAGAATGGGCAGCAAGTGCATGCAGTAGGGCTCCTCTCTTCTCGCTGCATGACAAGGTATATACAAATCTCCCTCCTGCTTATGGAGCTGCAGATAAAGCTGCTTGAGTTGAAGCGTTCTACCATGGCCCAGGTGCCTCAGAAGCCCCAATATTTGTTGCCAGGTTCTTTTTGAAAGACATAACAAGGTGGCTGGCTTATATTTCAGTTGTTCGAGCTGCCAAATGACTCTTAAAGAAAACTAAAACAATACAACTTTCTCCAGCAGCATTCAGAGAAGCCACCTTTTCTCTCCCTCCCCATTCTTTTATTTTAATTTTTTACATGATAAGAGTTCCAGATTCTGAAAGTGTAAACAAAACCTGTCTTGGAGTTTCTAGTCTTCAGTGCAAATTGGAAAAAGAGACCCTAATGCTTCTTAATCTTCTTTAAATATCCCTTTTACAAATAATTTATTTCCAAATATTGGTGTTCCTTGAATAATTTGGAGAGGGTGGAGTGGAATAGAAATAGGGTCCATATCAACCTACCGCAGATAATGCTTTTTTCCTGGAGTACAGCATAGTTAAGAGTAGGCAGTTTCCCAGGATTGTTGTGATCATATGCTGGGAATAAAACTCTGCAAATGTACCTTGGGCATTTGGGGAGAAGTGGTTGCTACACTCGGGAGGGAAAAACATCTCAAAAAAAAAAAAAAAAGGGGGATATCAAAGGTGTTTCCATTTCTAAGAAGTGCATTTCCCCAATCATGTAGAAGAGGACCAAATTAAATTGTACTTTCATCATGATATAAACAGTGCAAACAACTGGGAAATATAACTTTTAAATATTAAATGGAATCTGACCCTTGTTGAATATGTAGATTTGAATATTTAACATCACATTTTCCTTGTACGTTATTTCTTTTATGTGTAACACACTGTCTCAAGTTAGTGTACTAATTTCCCCTGTGTTCTTTCATGAGATAATGTTTTCATTCACTAACAACGTTTCATAGTGCATTAATAACATCAACACAGCCACATTTCCCTGTGTGCCAACTTCAGGGTTTTAAGAGATGTAGGGACATTTGTTAAGCCCAGGTAAATATTAAATATCACTTGAGAGAGCAGGGGAGAGTAAAAATGGCATTTGCCGCCAGCCTCAAGTTCCTTTGAGATGAATAAAAATGCAGACGACTTGTTCAGTCTATTAGGCAGTTGCTAGTTCAGCTGCACTGCATATGCTGGTTTTCAAACATAGTTTTGAGTGCAGTGTTGGGGGCATACGCATGTGTGAGAATTCCAGATGTGAGTTTGGGGGATGCCATTTAAAAGTTTATATTTTTTAAATTTAATTTAAACACTGATCTCCAAGATGCAGAAATGGTATTAATTTTGATAAATTTTGGAAACGTAATTAGGAATAAAGTAAAGCATTAAGAAGATAGTACCTAAGATTTTAAAGGATTTTTGAAATTAAATCTATGTCTTCAGTGAAATAAATTGATCATCAAAACTGTCTGGAATTTTACTTAGTCCAGTAACTAGCTATTGATTTTCAGCTGTTCCTCGTGATTGTTTTATCACATGACATTCTGAACTGTTTGATAAAAAATTGCTTCAAACTTTAAATATTACAACTCCTTCAGCTAGGAGAGTTTTCTTAATATTTTAGGCCCCCAAAAGAAAGAAAATGTTATCTTTCCTATGCTCCTCTGAGACATGAAAAAGATAATGAGGATTTTTTTAATAGAAAAATAAAATTAAAAAGCTTAAATGAAAGAGATTTTATAAAAATATATTTTTCCCTCTGGGTTTTTTTCCATTCTGGGTAAGAGTATAAGTGTGTATGAGATAATGAAAAACACACACACACAAACCGTTAGTACTAAATGCTAGCATTTTTTCCCTCTTTCTTTTTCAGCTCCTGGGAGAAGTGATTTTGCAAATTGCCGACGGACCGATTCTGCCCTTTAATGCTCTTGATATAGCTTTAGAAGTTCAAAACAGCCTTAAAGGTAATTTTTCTTTGAGTTATAGTAATTTTAGCAAATGAAAAATTGCTTAACTAGTTTGCAGCAGAGCAGGATAAAGTCACCCACTGTCTCACTGGTTGTGGCGATGTAGCACCTCGCTTCCTATGGAAGATAATCGTGGGAAGGGCTTAGAAGAATGTTGGCTGCCATGTCAACAAGGATGAGCTGTACCTAATATTCAGTCAGTGTAAGCAAGACTGGCCCAGACCTTTCTCCTTCGATACTGGTTTCCGTGAGGTATGGGCCCCATTTCATCTGAGTGAAGTGTTGGCTCACCCTAGGTTGAGGATGACAAGGAAGAAATAGGGAAATTGCTTCCATAGTCTCTATTTCAGTTCCTTCGTTGTTGAATATACATCTTTCTACAGAATTCAAACAGCACCCTAATAATTACTTTTATTTTCCCTTCATCTAATCTTTCAGTTAAACTTTTAGTTTGCCTTTGTTCACCAAATACAAAGGGCAGTATTGTAATTACAGAAGGCATCCTCCTCCTCCTCTTGGAGTCATACACTTCCTATCAGGTTATTTGTAGACACGTACTTCTCAATATAAAAGCCAATGTTTTAACTATAGTACTGAAGCAATAATTCTTGGAAAATGGATTATTCTAAAGAGCCAAGTAGTTCTAGTATCTGAAAGTTTCATACTTTTATTTTTAAATTTTGACTACCTGGGTTGGCTCTAATTCAGAGGTGACTACTACACTACTACATATTTTTCCCCCTCAATGATTCTTATGACTTTTATTTTAGTGACTGTAAAACCATGACCTTGGGAGCAATTGAGCTGTTAAGGGCTATTTGCTCCAATCCTATAAGGCCTCATACTACTCTGCTTTTGGTATACTTAAACTCATCTCTACTTTTTCTACTTTTTCTCAAGCTTCTTTTATATTGTTGTTAGTGTGACTACCTGTAGCAGTCACTCTGTCTTCCACTGAAAATTTTCTGTTTCTAGACTATTTCTTAGAAACTGAGTAACCAAGTATAAATACTTAATAAAATAAAAATAGATATAAGTAAAGGGTTAAAAGCTTCTGTGAATAATAAATATATTTTTTCAAGGATTTTTTAAAGCATTTATTTTATTCTGTAGACTATTTTGCTTTTGTTATCATTTTCATACTTTAAAAAATTCAGCTGATGCTGTATATTATACTTAGAACTTTCAGAGAACAAAAGGAGACTGTTATTTATATTACATAAAGCATCGTCTATCTATAAAGAATAATTCATATGCATAGAAAGGAGCCTCAAGGAGTATACTGTGAAATAGTAACACTGTAAAATAGAATTACAAGTGATTCACAAGTTGCTTTTCTGAGTCCAAATCTATGATAAATGTTTAATACCTTTGTGATAAAGACATGAAGAGTTTTTTTAATCAAATAAAGCCAGTAAAACCAAAAGCAATAGCAATACTGTCATCTTAAGTTCCAAAGCACATTTTTTCAAACAGTTGGATTTTTTTTTAGAAGTCTCGAAATAAACACAATCGTTTAGCATTATCATTCCTATATGAGCATTTTAAGTAATACAGGCTACTTCTGAAGGTCAAAAAAAGTCCCAGTGGGTCACCATTAGAATTATATTGTCACTCTGTTTTTTGGGGGTAGTTAGGGATCCCTTTGAAAATCTAAAGTATGGTCTCTCTCCTCAGAGAATTACATATGTACAGAAAGTTTGTACATATTCTTCATGGACTTTACAGGATCTCCTGAACCCATTTATTAATTCATTTAACAAATATTTACTGAGTGCCCACTGTATGCCTGGTACAATTCTATGACCAAAAATGAAAAAAGAAAAAAAAAACCCAGCCACTAAATAAATAAATAAATAAAACAAAATAAAAACCTCTGCACATAAGAAACATACATACATGGTAGAACAAAATTGCCATAAGTCAAAGTAATCTTTAAATTAGCTTTCTGCTCAAATTCTTCCCTACTATCAATCATGTTAGAATAAATTTGCATTCTGAAGATAAGTTTTAAAAAGCAGAACTGACTATGATTGTACCCAGGGTACAGAGGAGAGATTTGGTCTGGGAATATAAATTTGGGAGTTGTCCCAGGTGAGATTTCTAAAGGATTTAGTGCAAAGAGAGGACAGAAAAGGTTTAAGATTTCTGGACATGCCTACATTTAGAAATTGGGAAAAGAAGGGGAATCAGAGGAGGAGACTAAGAAGGAGTAGAGAAAGAATAAGAGACAAACAAGGTGACTTTGATATCCTGAACTAAGTGAATATAAGCTTTCAAAGAGGAGGTAGTGACCTGCTCTGTCAAATACTGCCACAGATTAAGAGAAATGAGGACTGAAATTGACTATTGGATTTAGACATTTGGTGGTCATTGGTGATCTCAACAAAAACAATTTTAGTAGAGTAGTATGAGAAATAGCCTGGTTCGAGGGGTTCGAAAGAAAATGGGAAGTGATAAATTGGGGACAGGCGATGGCAGATGAAAAGCATGGAACTGAGAAGGGTTAACATGTTTTTATTTTGATGAGAATGATCTGATGGAGACTGAAGATGTGATTAAAGAGAGTGAAAGGAGGATTGCTGGACTGATTTTCTTGAATAGAAGCAGCATAACGGTGGAAGGACATTGCCTTAGTCATGAACGCAGTAGTCCGTCCTTAAAAGTGTGAAGGAAGGCAGCAAGTATGGCACATGGGTACATGTGGTGCTGGGAGCTCTTGGCAAGTCCCTTCAGATTTGGAAAAACAATAAAATAGTTGTTTGGGAAGGTGGTAGAGCGAATGAACCATGACAGTGGGATTGGTATTTTGAGTGGCATTAAGAACTCAGAAGAAATATACTTTAACTGAGATAATTCAACAGAATTGTGTATTTTTTCCAGCCTTCTGCTAGGGACTCAGGCACAGAACTTGGCAGAGTTGGATTTAATCAGAGCTAGGGCTTTGCTAGGAGACGGACAACCAACTAGATAAGCTCAGGTAAAGAAAAATGACTGTCTGTAAAGGAGCACTCACAGTGATGGACCAAAGTATGTAAACTGGGTCTGGGATAAAGTGAGACTAGGAAGGGAATGACAGGGAGTACAAAGGAAGGAGGGTCAACCAACTTTATTTCTTGGCAAGATCAAAGAATTGAGGAAAAGTAAGCTGAAAAGACTAATCTGCGGATGGCCAGTGAATGGGACTGTCGAAAATGTGGTCATATAAAGAGTGCAGGTATTGGTAACGACAGTGTCCAGGCTAGGGTATGACCACGTAAGTGTGGGAGTTGATCACGGTGGAAAAGAGGCTAAGGAAAGAGAGGCCAGGCTATGTCTCCAAGAGACCGATCTTGCCAAGAAATGACAGGAGTAATTCTTGTAAGAGAGAGTGACTGAGCCAGGAGCTAAAATCTTCTGAGAATGAGCAGCGACTTGGAGATGCCTGTTGTTCTTGTACGGCTGGTGGTACAAAGGGCGTGGGAGGAAAAAGAGACACTGCCCGAGAGGACTGCAGTGGAGGCAGCGTGATCAGGGGAGAGCCAGGTTTCAGTTCAGGCAAGAGGTGAAAAAAAGATTCTGAGACTAGACTAGGTTAATAATCCTTTGTTTAATAGTTATATCTAAGAGAATGTCAGAACAGGTGAAAAAACAAAACAAAACAAAATTGCAGTCATTCTATAATGGTTTCCACTGCAGGGCCAGACATGACCATGTTTAGATGAATCTCTCCCTAAAATCAGAGGTTTCAGTTGGATGACTCAGGAGCAGATTGGCTTTTTGCTGTTTGATCAGACCACTGCTTCTTTGGTTGTTGGCTATTTTTGAGTTTTGTTTCACGTGAAACTCCTTGGATCTCCCTGTCACTTTCACTCAGAAAGATGTGGCCAGAATTGGGATGTACCCATACTAAAAAAACGAAGCACAGTCAAACAAAATGTAACCCAAAAAAGGCAAAAATTATTCTTTTACCATGATCTGGGTATAAATATTTTATCAAAGTAATATGATTTGTTAATTTAAACTATATATTTTCATATTTTAGTTATGATTAAAATTATTTGCATTATCTGTATCATAGTTAAAAGGTTATTGAAATGTTTGCTAAATTATAGTCAATTTGATGTACCTGTTCTGTTTTTTTTTAAGTTGAAGTATTATTGTTTTACCTGTTCTATTTTGACTACTTTGGTTACAACCTTATTTTTAAAATTGAATACTTTAATGTGCTTATGTGTGAATACTGAACACTACTTATCAACAACTAAATAAATATTTCCGTTTCCATTTTAGCTACAATGCTAGATGTTTTCATTAGCTAACACAGTTCCTGCACTGTGTTAAGTGAAATATATAATTTTAGTGCTTAATACAAGCTTTGATTGTTGATGTATTTTCTTAGTTATGATAGTTAGTGGTGATTAGTCTTAAGTTCTCAATTACAGTAAAAAAAAAAAATGACCTTCAAGGCTGAACTATCAAATACTGTTTCTCCTTATTGTGAAGAGTTTAAGTGTGAAGGTCTCTGAAACCCAATTGCATTTTCCAGTGTAATTTTTACCCTTTGACAGCCAGCCATCTTGTTTATTTATTACACTAGTTTATAGTAGCAGCAGACCGTTCTCTACCATTCTCACAACCACCAGAAAGAAGGATAATTTACCAGTGAATAATTTGTTTGAGTTGATTTATTGGATGGTTCTTGAAAGCTCATTTTGACTGAGTGACCTTGGCTCTTACTATTTGGTCAATGCCAAACACATAATAGTTAGAGAATGAATATTTATACTTGGTGCATGGGGATATAATATAAATAGTGACTGATAAGATAACTGAGATACTTCAGATGTACTTGTGACAAATAAAATTCTGTCCAAAAAATGTACATTACAAGGCAATGGTACTAGTTTATGGGGGCAAAGGAAGATGTCCATCGTAAATAAAGTATCACCACGCCCTTGAACCTGGCAGCTGACTAAAGAGTGACCACTTAATGATCTTACTAAGTTTACAGTTTC